AATAGGCCCAGCCCATCAATTAGCGGTACGCGCATGCGCAGTTCGCCGAGGGTTTGCACTTTAGTGCTTTCATTATTTTTGCCTTTAGTTGCTAGAAGATGAAAAGCACTGAAGTGAAAACCCTCGAGCATGTGACGCGCACGCGTAAGTAAACGCATGCGCCGTACCACTAATTGATGGCTGGGTTTAGTTTTAGCTGTACTCGTGGTCTCTTGCCAGCTCGCGCAGAGTCTGACGCGGGCTAACTACACTACTAGATAGCATGCAAGAGGCGATACACGCCCTGCGTTGCATCTTCTGGTGCCTCCGAGGTACGCAGAACACGCAGATCGATCATGCCGTAGTAAGCCGTTGTGTATTTGCATATTGGCTTTTTAGCGCTCGAGCTTTGCAACGGAGCGTTTTCAGCGAAAACCGTTCGAAAGTTCTGACCTTCATTGCCCGTTCAGTAGGTGGTATCCTTTGTGAGACGAACGAACACTCGAGAAGTGATATAACGAGTAACAGACAGACAGACAGACACACACAAACCCAATGAAAAGCACTAAAGTGCAAACCCTCGGCGAACTGGGCATGCGCGGTACCGCTAATTGATGGGCTGGGCTGCTATTAGTATGTAGTATACTCGTGGTCTCCCGCTAGTAGCGTCTGACACTGGCTAGCTACAGTAGACTAGTAGATAGCATGTGGGAGTCGATACACGCCCTTCGTTGTGACTTCTCGTGCCTTCAAGATACACAGAGCAGGCGGACCCGAGCCTGTTCAAAATATAAGCGCATGCGCATTTTCCGCAGCGATAAAAATGGCCGACTAGCATTAGCCGTACAATGGCGGAAGCGCTCTAGCTTTGCAACGAAGCATTTTCAGAGAAAACCGTTCGAACATTCTGACCTTCATTGCCCGTTAAGTAGGTCGTATCGTTTGTGAGACGAACAGACATTCGAGAAGTGAGATTGAGAGTAACAGACAGACACACACACACACACACACACACACACACACAGACAAACCCAACTACAGTACCCTCGCTGCGCATGCGCGCCGAGGGTAATGAAAAGCACTAAAGTGCAAACCCTCGGCGAAGTAGCTCGCAGAGAGTCTGACACGGGCTAGCTACAGTAGTAGATAGCACGCGAGAGTCGATACACGCCATTCGTTGTGACTTCTTGTGCCTTCAAGATAGACAGAGCAAGCGGACCCGGTCGAGGTAAGCCTGTGCTAAATTTAAGCGCATGCGCATTATCCGCCAGCGATAAAATGGCGACTACCGGCATTAGCCATACAATGCTGGAAGCGCTCTAGCTTTGCAACGGAGCATTTTCAGAGAAAACCCCACAAATTTTCTGACCTTCATTTCCCGTTGAGTAGGTCTTATCGTTTGTGAGACGAACAAACACTCGAGAAGTGAGATGTAGAGTAACAGACAGACAGACACACAAAACGACTACAGTAAACCTCGCTGCGCATGCGCGCCGAGGGTTAATGAAAAGCACTAAAGTGCAAACCCTCGGCGAAGTAGTAGACTCGCAGAGAGTCTGACACGGGCTAGCTACAGTTGTATATAGCACGCGATAGTCGATACACGACACTCGTTGTGGCCTTCAAGATACACAGAGCAAGCGGACCCGGTCCTGTGCTAAATATAAGCGCATGCGCATTAACCGCCAGCGATAAAAAATTGGCGACTACAGGCATTTGCCATACAATGCTGGAAGCGCTCTAGCTTAGCAACGGAGCATTTTCAGAGAAAACCTTTCGAATTTTCTGACATTCATTGCCGGTTAAGTAGGTTGTATCGTTTGTGACACGAACAGACATTCGAGAAGTGAGATTGAGAGTAACAGACAGACAAACCCAACTATTGTAACCCTCGCTGCGCATGCGCACCGAGGGTTAACTACAGTACCCTCGCTGCGCATGCGCGCCGAGGGTAACTACAGTACACTCGCTGCGCATGCGCGCCGAGGGTAATGAAAAGCACTGAAGTGAAAACCCTCGGCGCACTGTGACGCGCAGATGCGCCGTACCACTAATTGATGGGCTGGGTTTAGTTTTAGCTTGTTACTCGTGGTCTCTTCCCAACTCGCGCAGAGTCTGACGCGGGCTAACTACACTACTAGATAGCATGCGAGAGGCGATACACGCCCTGCGTTGCATCTTCTGGTGCCTCCGAGGTACGCAGAGCACGCGGATTGATCAGACCGCGGTAAGCCGTCCCGTCCGTTGTGTATTTGTATATTGGCTTTTTCGCGCTCTAGCTTTGCAACGGAGCAGTTTCAGAGAAAACCGTTCGAAATTTCTGACCTTCATTGCCCGTTAAGTAGGTCGTATCGTTTGTAAGACGAACAGACATTCGAGAAGTGAGATTGAGAGTAACAGACAGACAGACAAACCCCCAACTACAGTACCCTCGCTGCGCATGCGCGCCGAGGGTTAAAAAGGTCAACCGCTCCACTTACAACACACCAAAGTGTAGACATTGGTGGTAAGGTAGTACGAAGTAAGAAGTAACGGTATTGTTCTTATTGTAGTGGACACGTCCAGTGTTGGTGGGATAGCTCAAGGCAAGAGCAAACTTCAGCTAGCCGACTCAGAACAAGGTATGTAAACTGTGGTTGGTTTAAAAATTATGTGCCACACTATTTACAGTGCCAGGTACGAAGGAGAGAGAGAATAGGCCGCAGAGGAAAGGTATATTGTTTTACGGTACAGTACCATATAAGGCATTTTTACATTCCTTCACTCTAGTGCAAACACGTAGCACACGTGCAAGGGTGGCACCACTGACTGACTACGGTAAGTTTAAACTCTCCTGTGTTTCCATTTTACCAAGTTTTCTATTTTTCCAGCATTATCTCCCACAACCTCTGATCAAGAGACGCATGGTTTGTGTTAATTTTAGGTTGAATATAGTGTAGTACGTTCGTATTGTAGTAGACACGTCCAGTGTTGGCGGGATAGCTCAAGGCAAGAGCACACTTCAGCTGGCTGACTCAGAACTAGGTATGTAAACTGTGGTTGGTTTAAAAATTATGTGCCACACTATTTACAGTTCCAGGTACGAAGGAGAGAGAGAAGAGGCTGCAGAGGAAAGGTAAGTTTTTTTTACGATTACAGTTGTAAGGCATTTTTACATTCTTTCACTCTAGTGCAAACACGTAGCACACGTGCAAGGGTGGCACCACTGACTGACTACAGTAAGTTTTATTATGGTTTGTTTAATTTTTATATTAGGTAAATGTGTTGCTGGAACATGTGAACATACAAGAGCCAGGAATTGGGTTCAGTGTGAAAGATGCACCCAGTGGTATCACTGCGTGTGTGTAAAGATATCTTTAACAAAAGCAAGAGATGGAACCTTTAACTGTTGCTAAGCTTTTTTGGTCAGTATTTCTCTTCCTTAGTAATGCGCATGCGCGTCGATTATCGAGGGCGGGACCCATGCGGAAACATTCCATGTTTGCGACGACGTGTGAACGCGGACTCGCTTCACTTGTTGTATACAAGTAGTAGAGGGGTAGTCTTACTTAAAGCTGCTGCCTGTGATTTGGTGCGTGTACAAGAGAGCAAGAAAACGGAGCCGTCCGACAAGTGATATTTTTGTCCGATGTTTTGAGTCTTCGGACGTTGACTTTGTAGGACAACCGCTCCGCCTTGGAAGCAGCCGAGCAGATAGTTTTTGTAGGAGTAGCAGGTCAATGTGGGGGCTTTGTATTGATGTAGTCAAGATCTGCCTTAGTGCCTTGATATTCCCAGAGTAAGTGTCCGACCATTGATGGTGGCCGACCTTTGATCCCTCGCTGCATGCTACGCGCTTTTATATTAACCAGGGACTTCACCCTTTGGAGTGGCACATAATCATGACTCACTACACTTCCTCCCAGGACCTTTATTTACAGTTAACTCCGCCCCCTTCAGCGACAAGGGGGGTTTCCGGGCAACGCGGAAACAGTCTGGCTATATACGCGCCTAATGTGGGCGCGCACGCATGCGCGAATAGTTCACCCCTGCCTTTTGTGATGGGGAAACCATAAGTTGTTCAACCTTTCACTCGTTTCCAACACGTCAGTGACAGTCGTTTCCACACTACTTTCATCGCACAAAGGGCCACAAAGTCATAGTCTCGTTAGCCAGACCGGGCTAGCGAGACAATAAGTTTGCGGGAAAATCGTATCTACTCGGTGGTTCGTTAGGGCCATCCACTACTATTCAGTCGGCCTTCCGTTTCCTTCTCATGCTGTAGACCTGGGATCTGCAGGTAACTGCGACGTGAGGACGTGCCGAACAGGGAGTTCACTGTGGGCATTATGTAGCTATGGGGTATTCGCGAGCGGGAGCGAACGCGCGCGATCTTTCATAACTGGGCATGTGCGTGTGTTTGGATTACGCGCTCCCAAAACCCTGCCTGATCGATCCTCGACGCGCGATCTATATAGCCAGCGAGAGAACTGTTTGGCGGATGTAGCTGCGCTATTCGATGCCTGACCTAGGAATCTTCGTGTTTCGAAGATGCAAGCTGTAATGGCTCGTGCAGATACAGTTATTGTGTGCTTGCTACCGCTCGGCAAAAACTGCCCTGCGCATTCGCCTACTAGTAAAAGTACAGTTAGTATACTGTCCATCTCCACCTTTGGGGGCAAAGCTCATGAACTTCTGAACCTCCTTTTACTTTAGTAACAGCTAATACCAATAATGCGCTGACCAATCCTTTCACACTGTGAAATACTTGAATTGCACAGTAATACTAAACACACTACAGTTTTGTGTTTGCGGCTATTTTGGCAATGGTATTAAAATAGCACTCGGTGTCACCTCATACTATTTAACTACTTATCCTAATTGTAAATGTATGTTCGGTTCATTGCAGTTCTAGGCAGCAAAAGCAAAAGGGCCATATAGGCTACATCACGGCACGGATGTTTTCCAAAACTTTAGACATGTTGAGATTTGCTTCCTTTATGTTCTGTACTTCATTGTTCCAGGTTTTTCTTCAGTGTTATAATAAACATCAAGGACGTTCAGGGACCATGGAATCTGATCCTTCTTTAGCTCACTTGCAAAGACTTCTTCCTCGTTCAGACTCCCTGACTCATTGTCTTGCGGCATCCAAGCTCCAAGGTAACTAGAAGAGCAAAATTTTTCGCCTCTTTGATGGAATTTATCAAGTTGCTGCGTTGTTCGTCAGAACCATTCTCACTCCAGTATCGGCGACTACCACTTTTTTGGTTAGGTCCAGCAGCATAATCGTGCCACTCAACCATCATATAGTCATCATTGTTGTAGATTTCATTTTCAATTAATGGTAAGCCAGTGTGTCTCTTCGTTGGTGATGTAAGAATTATTTTTCCACCCGTCGCACGAATGGCATCAACAACTTCAGATGTCCACTCGTTGTATTTGATTGTGTCCTCTCTAAGACTACCCTGGCAATTGTCTCCACATTCATCAATTCCCAACTCAGTAAAGAGGTTAAAGGAAAGGCGGTATTTTTTCTCTTCAACTTCTCAGCCACTTTTGTCCACCACTCAATGTAATTGCGGCGATCTTCTTCAGTAGCGAATGCCTCGGCTTCGTGATGAATCCACGAGATGATTGGAGCCACACCAACCTCAAGACACCTGTCTACAACTTCCTCTAACTTGTCTAGAAACCATGTGAAAAGGATGTTATCGTTATCGTACGGGGGGCAGTACAAGTCTGCTCTTACACGAAGTCTTAGATTTCGGAAGCCTCTGTCATAGATGTCCTGAATGTTTTCAGGCCTGTACTCCATTGCCGGTACAGTCTTGAAGTAATCGGTTGAAAATCCTTGTTTGATGCTTCTTTGGTAATCGGCAGGAAGTACTGGTCATGAAAAGTCTGGGTCCGATGTTTCTTGTGTGCCACCCCCAGTCAAGATGGCAGAGGCAAAGAGTACCAAGCATAGCAGATACATTGCTGCAGAGATGTAGCTTCTTCGACAATGACCTCAACTGTGCTATAACTTCAAAGGCTTTTATTCTCTGAGATTTGTTGGTAGCTAACTCACGTTGTGCTGCTCCTTTTATACCAACAGAGTGTGCATGGCCGCCATAATGTAGAGGAACTATGAGCAGAATGAGTGAGCATTCCACTATTATAGCTAATACTGAGTATACTTTATCACAGCAGCATCCCGTTTCCAGGGATCTAGCTATACAAGTTCAACCTGGTAAGATGGCGGGTGTCCTACCAGGAAATACCAGGAAAAATAGCCAATCATTAGCACAAAGTCGAACCTGGCAAGATTTTGGCACAGCTTCACTGGAACAATGCACTAACAACAAATTAGCAAATTATTGGCACAAAGTTCTGACCTGGCATAGGCTACCCCTGGCATCTGCACAGCTTTACTGGAAGACTCCTACTGTAGCTAGCCCGTGTCAGACGCTACTAGCGGGAGACCACGAGTATACTACATACTAATAGCAGCCCAGCCCATCAATTAGCGGTACCGCGCATGCCCAGTTCGCCGAGGGTTTGCACTTTAGTGCTTTTCATTGGGTCTGTCTGTTTGTCTGTTTGTCTGTTACTCTACATCTCACTCCTCGAACGTCTGTTCGTCCCAGAAACGATACCATCTACCCAACGGGCGACGAAGGTCAGAAAATAACGGCGGTTTTTCTCTGAAAATGCTCCGTTGCAAAGCTAGAGCGCGAAAAAGCCAATATGCAAATACACAACGGCTTACCACAGTCGGATCGATCCGCGTGATCTGCGTACTTCGGAGGCACCAGAAGATGCAACGCAGGGCGTGTATCGCCTCTCGCATGCTATGTAGTAGTGTAGTTAGCCCGCGTCAGACTGCGTCAGACTCTGCGCGAGCTGGCAAGTACCCGCTAAAACTAAACCCAGCCCATCAATTAGTGGTACGGCGCATGCGTTTACTTACGCGTGCGCGTCACAGTACGCCGAGGGTTTGCACTTCAGTGCTTTTCATTTAAAATTGCACTATTAGGATGTATATACGGGGTAATTGCCACGCGAACGGCGCTTAGTAAATAGAACGTTCATGATACTTTTCCTCTTCCCCCCTTTCTGCAGGCCAATGATATATCAAGAACAACAGATAAACTTTTGCAATAATAATTTGAGAAGTTTTTTAAGCAATCCAGCACTAAACACAAACTCATACAGCACCTATACAAGAGAGAGTGGTGGGGTAAAAAGTACAAAAGTAGTACATTCTTCACATCATTGTTACTGTTGAAGGTTAACTTAAATGCAATGTACCTTAGTTGAGCACGACATATCAAAGTTGTGTGTCAGCTTTTCTCCGTTAGGTAGTCTAAACACCAAAGGGGCACCAACATCCGATTGTTGAGCTTCGAATTTATGTTGCAGATTCTGTCAGACTTGGTCAGTGACTATCAAGGAAGATGTCAACAATCTACCATAGTGACTGCGGCAAGAAAGAAATGATCGCTTGATAACCGTGCACACCTCCGCGGCGAAATTGCAGACGTTCTGTGAAAATATCAACGATTCAACTGCTTGCGGTAAGGACATATTTTCTAGACGTCATATTGACTTCAATTTTTTAATCAGGGAATGCATGTTACTGTACACATGCACCAGTGAGCATAGGTCATGGTGTAGAGGAA